CGGTAACCTGGTTGCCGAGTTCACGAAGTGAATTGGCTTGTTTTACAACGTCGTTGCCAAGCGACGAAAACCCAACCCCGATGGCAAACACCGGGGGGGGAGGGGGGGGGGGAGGGGGGCAAGATCGACAGGGAATGGTCATCGGTGTGTAAATGGTGCTGTACTTCGGCAATGCGACATACATAGGAAACCCTCGCTTCCCTGCAAGGCGCAAAGCAGAATGCATTGTGGCCGGTGTTCATCAGCCTGCAGAGAAAGGCACGGCGGGGCAATTCGCGCTGGTTGTCCCATCAAAGGAAAAACAGAGAAAGATCGGGTCAAATTTCTGATATCCACGCCTTGAGAACATTCCGCGAACATTCTCCACACCTCTTGTTGAATTGAGTCCCTTTCCTCAGCACCGCATGGATGCATGCACGACCTTTGTAACCCCCCTCTCCCTCCGCCCCCACCTTCCTCTCACCTTCGGCGGGGCCTCCCGGACGAGGTCCGCCAGTGGCCGGTGGTCATCGGTGAACGGCTTAACCTCCACCGCGGGCAGGTGCTTAGTGTCCGTGATGTCGTCGATGTTGACCATGCCCGAACGCGCCATGTCCCACGGGTCCGTCGATGCCTTCAGCAGAAGCACCAAAAACCGACCGTAGACATGCACAGCAGCAGCAGTGGTATGGAGCGCAAGTGCATTCGGACATAAAACATTTTGCCACCAACGCAACGTCTACCTACAAAACAGAATGAGCAAAATCGTTACGCCTGCCGTGCGCTCCGACACCAAAATCAATGTGTCGTTAGCCTACCTTGGACAGGGTAGTGCAAGTGACTGCCGGAGAGCCATCCGATGCAGCCCCCCCTGCCGTCGACCCCTGCTGCTGCTGCTGCTGCTGCTGCTGCGTTGGTTGCAGGAACCCTCCTCCCGCAAAGTCCACGCCCCCGCCCGCCGTTCCCGGCGCGCCCGAGAAGCCGACGCTAGGCGCATCGAACGGCCCGGTTGCGGGCATCGCATGCTGCTGCTGCTGCTGAGGAGGAGGGGGAGCGTCGTACAGCTGCGGTTGCTGCTGCTGCTGCTGCTGCTGCTGCTGCTGCGGCAAAGGGAACCCCGATTGGTCGTATTGCTGTCGTCGGCCATAGGAAGTAGAGGCGGGGTGACCGTGTATTGGGAAGTAGAGGTGGGGGCGGCGGGGGTTGTTAGCACGTGTTTCATTCATGCTCGCGGCAGGAGAGCCTCGTCAGACGTGGCCAGGTGAGAAAAGGGATATCGTCCCACACGGCATCTATGACGGGCATCTCTTGCAACGTAAACAACAGAACACCCACGCACACCAAATCAAACGAACGTCGCATCTAAACCTTAATGGTCTTTGCTCTTAGGGGAGGCCGGCCGGCTGAGCACTGTCGACCACGAGAGGGCGACGATCGCGACTGGCCCGCATATTCCTTTTGGGAAGCGACGGAGATCAGGGCCTTGGGAAACAAGCAGCCAAGAGCCGGCGCGACTGGACAGGGACACGCGTGGGCCGGTACCCACGTCGCCCCCAACAAAAAACCAAAGCTGTCGCGAAATTGCGACCAAGCATGGGTCGTGCTCCTCTCCTAAAATATGTAAGCTACGAAACACGCAAGGTTTTCTTTTCGCCTCGTGCCTCAGGTTCCGCGTAGGAAGCGCCTAAATAGCCGGATACTTATAGTACATATGGGACGGAAACTACGAGCTTGACGTGTTGTAGGTACAACATAAAAGAAGTCATGTGCATACATACCACGATACACAAGAAAAACTGTGTGGCACGGGGGTCGGAGAGGCATCACCACGTTCGACAGAGGGCAAGACCGGGGGTGGGGTGGGGGGGGGG